GCCATGCCACTTCCGCTTTGTAGTCCTCTTCAGACTCCAGAACGCTTACAAATCCCACGCAAAGTGTTCCGATTTCTCTTTTGCCTCCATAAGCACAGCTCTCACACGATGATAAACACAGGGGGCAAGTGATAAATAACTCTGTGAAGGCTGTTCTGTCTCTAGCTGGAAGGAACCTCCTCATCCTTGTTAGTGCCAGGCAGGATTTGGGGGCTTCAACTTGGTGTCACAGCACTCTTCTCTCCCAAGATGCATCGCTTCTTCTTACTGCTTATCTTGAATCACTCAGCTCTGTCCCTTCATACTCTTGCACCAGCACAAGGCAGAGGTGAGGATGTGCTGGGATCTGGTATCCCTAGCAGAGCTGAGACAATCCCTTCTTCCAAGAACATCCTCATCTCTCTGGATGGTTATTCGCCTATGATGTAGGTGATTCACATAGAACAAAAAGAGAGGACAATGGGTTGGCCATGACCAAGGAGGCACTTCCCTGCTTCCCTCCTCTCTAGAGGCCTGTGTATAGGACAGGATTCCCTTTTGTGTTTATTTTCTCAGGAACTCTCTAGAACTTAATGAGAAAAGTGACTTCTAAGCCTCCTCTTGGACTCATCCAGCCCTTTTTTTAAGATTTATTTATTTACTTGAAAGTCAGAGCTACACAGAGAGAGGAGAGGCAGAGGGAGGGGGGAAAGGGAGAAGGAGAGGGAGGGATGGAGGGAGGGAGAGCGAGAGAGAGAGGTCTTCCAACTGCTGGTTCACTTCCAAGATAGCTGCAATGGCCGGAGCTGAGCCGATCTGAAGCTAGGAGCCAGGAGCTTCTTCCAGGTCTCCAACGTGGGTGCAGGGGCCCAAGGCCCAAGGCCTGCTTACTCAGGCCATAGCAGAGAGCTGGATCAAAGTGGAGCAGCCGGGACTCGAACCAGTGCCCATATGGGATGCCGGCACTGCAGGTGGCGGCTTTATCAGCTATACCATAGTGCCAGCCCCAGCCAGTTTCATTTAAATGACAGCTGTTCCAACAGCTCAGTGTCTTGGGTGTGCCTGGCTATTGTGAGGTGCTTTCAGAAGGATGTAGCTCAGGAACTGGTTCTCTTACACACAGCAACTATGGAGTTTTCTGGGCAAAATTTGCACAATGGCACACATTTCCTCATTCCCAGATAGGGCCATGTGGTTGGTGGTCATGGAGATATCCCAGAGAGGGAGAGAGTCTCTTGCTACCAGCTTTCCTTTGAGCATGCCTCAAAACCTAGGGAAAAACTGAAGACAAGAATTTCCTATGAGACAGAAATGGGTTATGAGTTCTTTGATAACATTCCTCATCCCAAACAAGGTTTCAGAATCTAAAGCCTTGGACCTCCTGGGATGAAACTGCAAAGAAGGTAACAGCAAGGAAGACAATGCTACTACATTTCACAGACTGTCCTATAGAACTAGGGTAAAGACTTCACAGATTTCTTTAGAGATTTTAAATAATAGCTAGGAAAAATTTCCCCCTAGTCCTTTGGACCATAGTGGAATAGAAAGCAAAGAATAGAGTACTACTGGTGATAGGTCTGTATGATTGCATGTGCTCATGCTTTTAAGTAGAGTTATCCCTTAGTATCCATGGGAGATTGAATAAAATGGCATAGATTTGCATATTACATATGTGCATCCTCCCTTGTACTTTAACTTTTACTGATTGGTTTGAAAGGCGGAGAGACAGAGTGAAAGAGTAATCTCGGATTCACTGGTTTAATTCCCAGGTGTCCACAACAGCCAGGGCTGGAACAAGCCAAAGCCAGGAGCCTAGAACTCAATCTAGGTCTTCCATGTTGGTGGCAGGGACCCAAGTACTTGAGCCATCACCTGTTGCCTTCCAGGATAGGCACTATCAGGAAGCTGGAATGGAGGGCAGAGCTGGAACTCAAACCCAAGCCCCCTGATGGGGGATGCAGGTATCTCAAGGGTGGACTTAACCTATAGCACCAAACACTTGCCTTCTCCCTTTAAATTATTTGTGGATTACTTTTAATACTCAATACATCCCTTCATTCAGGGGGATTCAGGATAGTATTTGGCATGCAGCAGATTCAAGTTTTTGCTTTTTGGAATTTTCTAGAATTAAAAAAACATTTTATATGTTTAGTTGGTTGAATGTACAGATATGAAATATGTGGATATCAAGAGTCAACTGCTTTTATGTCATGGAAGGATAATCACAAAGCCAATGGCCAATGGCTGGCTCATAGGATGGGTATGTAGAGTTGGGAAATAGGAAAAAGGGTGGAGATACAGAGGCTGTTAACCTTTTTCTTTGTACTTCCCAAATCTGTTCAAATTGTTATAATTGTTTTCTTTTTATAAAGGTGTACTTATTTGAAAGGCAGAACATGTGTGTGTGAGAGTGTGTTGGAAATGGGGAAACAATCTTCCTCCTGCTGCTTTACTCCCCAAATGGCTGTAAATGCAACAGCCAGGGCTGGGCCAGGCTAAAGACAGCAGCAAGGAACACCATCTGGGTCTTCCATATGAGTAGCAGGGGCCCAAGTACTTGGGCCATCTTTTGCTGCTTTCTCATGTGCATTATCAGAAAGCCAAATTGGCAGCAGAGCAGCCAGGACTAATACCTGTGCTCCAATGAGATGCCGGCATAGCAAGCAGCAGTATACCATGATGCCAGCCCCCAATTTTTCCTTTACACATCTCCTATCTGTTCAGATAGTTATAATAAATATATTTATAAGGGTATAAAAATATTTCATATTTATTATTAGGAATAAAGCATTTTGAGGCTGGGAGGTCTGCTTATGTGCCCAAAACCGTCTAACAGAGGGGTTAAATCATAGACTTATTGATCAGGGAGGAGTAAGTGGTGCCATATGGAGCTCCTTGGAGCTGGTAGAAGCTACTCATTGGGCTGCACTGCCCCACAGAAGAGGCTAGGCCCAGCTGTTGGCTACTCCCCTGCAGGAGCCTGCAATTCCTCAGCTCCAACCTCCAGCTCTTGTCACTGCAGGCACCAGGAGCGATCAGTCAGAATCTGCCCATCCTGGGGCTGGGAGGCGGAGCTGGACACCCAGTGAGCTGACAACCAGAGAGTGCTGCAGTGGGCCTAGAGTCTCAGGTTAAGTCACAGCCAGCACCAAGCGGGCACTCTGGGGCTGGAGGGCACACTAGGAGTTGGCAAACATCTCATTTAGGTTGCCACATAATACTGAGTTGGGACTATGATTAGCACCCATCTTACAGATGAGAAAGACTTTTAGAAAGTAAATTGCCCATGATCAACACAAGTCTCTAGCAAATAAGAGAGTGTATATCGTTAAAGTCATATAGTATATTACATATGTCTCTGTGTAATACATATAATTAGGGGAAAATTCAGTATTTTAATTTTTATTTGAGAGATAGAAAAACAGGGAGGGAGGGAGGAAAGGAGGGCGTGCTGGTTCACTCCTAAATGCCCCAACAACCAAATCTGAGCTAGGGAGTCAGGAACCCCATCTAGTTCTGCCCTGTGTGTGGTAGGGACCCAAGTCTGCACTAGCAGGAAGCTAGAATCAGGAGTGGAACTGGGACTCGAACCCAAGTACTTGAACCAGTATCTTAATCACTAGCCCGAAGACCTGCCTCACATTTCATTTTAAAAAGTAGCAGGAAGTCCTGCTTGTGTGCCTGAGGTTGTCTGGAAGAGAGATTAAATCAGGACCTTGCTAATATGCAACCCGGAGAGTGCTGGGGCCTATTGAGCCCCTCGGACTAGGCGTGTGTAGAGCAGGATATTGGCATACTTAGAGCAGGCATTACCGAGTCTCAGCTTTTCCAGCACTCCCTCACACCTGGGCAACCTCTAATCTGAAGTCTGCTAAAAAGCAACAACCTTCCTGGACTCATTCCAACCTTCCACAGTGTCTTATGTGTCACAGACACACACTTAATAGTAGTTGAGTAGTATGTTTTGGACACAACACTGACAGGACTCAGCTCACAAACAGGTGCGACTGGAACTTCTCCAAAGATACAGCAGTTAGATGCATGTCTCTCTGTGGGGAGAGCTTTAGTAGCCTGACTCCATGTACAGAAAGTGCCTCCAGAGGCCAGCATTGTAGCACAGTGGGAAAATCCACAATCTGCGATGCCCAGTTAGAGTCCCGGCTGCTCCAGTTCTGCTCCCTGCTAATTGCCTGGGAAAGTAGGGGAAGAGGACCCAAGTACTTGAGCTCTTGCAACTACTGGAGATCCGGTTGAAGCTTCTGGCTCCTGGCTTCAGTGTGGCCTAGCCTGGGCCATATGGCCATCTGGGGAGTGAACTAGCAGATGGAAGATCTCTCTGTCTCTCCTTCTCTCTATATAACTTTTGTCTTTCAAATAAATAAAATACATCTAAAAAAAAAGTGCCTCCATTTCTTCTATCCTTTCCTTTTCCTCTTCCTTCCCTTATAAAAATATTTCAGTTTGTACTCTGGGATAAGAGAAAAATGCGGCTCTACCCAATTTAGTTCTTCCTCTACTGATCTGATCAGAATAAACAAGAGCCTCCTAGGACTTGAAAAAAAATCCGTACTCAGATCTTGGATGAATTATTACAGAGAGGTTTTAATTGGCTGTGGCTGGCCTCTGACCTCTTGTACAGATTGATTTATGAGGTGAATTTGCCATCAACTGTTGGAAAAACTGATAGCACAGAGTGCCTGGTTGGAGACAGAAGTTGCTGTTTGAATGGAGCTTGGAAAATATTTATGCCATCCCTGATCCCACCTCGCATGCCCAGTATCATGCCTGCAAACACTCCCTAGGCATACTAATGGGTCTTGAATTAGCAGTACATGTTCTGCTTCCAGAATCAGATATGGTTGCCATTTTTCCAATCTGCAGGGAAAAAAATCATTAACTTAATGTATAGCATTATGTTTTCTTTCTTCATAATTGCTCTAAAAGCTGCTATGGGAGTTTACTTATGGTTTCTGGCTTTTTTAAAAGATTTATTTATTTGAAAGGCAGAGTTAGAGAGAGAGAGAGAGATTGTCCATCCACTGATTCACTCACCAAATGGTCTCAACCACCAGGGTTGGACCAGGCTGAAGCTAAGATCCAGGAGCTTCGTCCGCGTCTCCTATATGGGTGGCAGAGGCCCAAATCCTTGGGCCATCTTCTGCTGATTTCCCAGGTGCATTAGCAGGGAGCTGGATTGGAAGTGGAGCAGCCAGGACTCCCACTGGCACCCATATAGGATGCCAGCACCAATGGCTGGGGCTTAACTCAGTATGTCACTGCACCAGTCTCAGTTTCTATTGTTTTTTCATAACTTTTTTTTTTTTTTTGAGAGGTAGGAAGAGAGAGAGATGGGGGAAGGGGGTGGGGGAGAGAGAGAGTTCTCCCATCTGGTAGTTCACTCCTTAAATGCCTGTAACTGCTGAGGCTGGCCAGGCTGAAACCAAGACCCAGGAACTCAATCAGGGTTTCCCATGTGGAAGCAGGGAGCCAACTACTTGAGCCATCACCTGCTGCCTCCCAGGGTGCTCATTAGCAGGAAGCTGAAATTGGGACCAGAGCTGGGACTTCAACACATGTACTCCAGTATGGGATGCAGGCACCCAACCCAGCATCTTAACTACCAGGGCAAACACCCACCCCCCAAGGTTTCTCCTCTAGCATGAAAGTGATTTGTTCTTTCATTCCCTTTTCCCTCATTTTAGTCTTTCATTCAGTCCTTCAGGCGACATGATGAGCTCTCCTTGAGAACTACTCCCTGGAAGATTCTGGAGAAGTCCCGGGACCATAGCAGAGCAGTTTCTCTCCTCTTGCTCAATGAAGAAAGTCAAAATTTGCTGAGATAGGGCAGCACTGTGGTGTAGAAGATTAACTCTCCGCCTGCAGCACCAGCATCCTATATGGACATCAGTTTGAGTTCCAGCAGCTCCACTTCTGACCCAGCTCCCCGCTAACATGCCTGGGAAAGCAGCAGAAGATGATTTAGGCCCCTGCACCCACATGAGAGACCTGGGTGAAGCTCCGGGCTCCTGGCTTTGGCCTGGCCCAGCCCTGGCCATTGCAGGCACTTGGGGAGTAAACCACTGGATGGAAGATTCTCTCCCTCTCTCTCTCCCCCCACCCTCTTTCTCTCTGTGTGTGTGTTTTTCTGCCTTTCAAATAAACAAATAAATCTTTTTTAAAAAAATTTGCTGAGAGAGCAGCATTGCTGGCTCCAGACTGACCCACATCCCTGGCCCCAGACACCCTTAGAATAATGGGGGACCTGTGCTCAGTGATATTTTTCTTCAGGTCATATTATTTGAAGGATGTAGGACACAGTTCAAACCCAATGAGCCATTCTTAGACAATGTCTTGGAGATAAGTGAAGTATTTCCTTATATGAATCATGCATGCACTGTATGCTATTCTGATTATAGTCACCTTCTGCCTGGCCCCTGTCTTCCTTCTCCAACAAGCTTCTAAACCTGCACGGCACTATTCTAGGTAGAGGAATAATAGTTTTCTGTTGACCTTGTTCATTCATTCATTCATTCATTCATCCATCACATATTTGTTGAACACCTACCATGAATAGCTTTTCAGTAGGCACCTGGTAAACCAGGGTGAATAAAATAGGTGTGAATTTTACCCTCATGGGGCTTAGATGCTATAGGAAACTGTACACTGAACAAGTCAAACACACATGACTGTATCATGGCAAATCATGATGAGTGCTGAAAAGGAAGAAAGGCAGGATGTGAGAGAATAAAAGGGGCTGGCAACATTACAGCTGGCAGTCATGGAAGGAGCCCCTCAAGATGGGACATTTAAGCTGAGACCTGAAGAAAAGAGACAGTCATGGTGGGGGGGAGATATTCCAGGCAGAAGAGTCACACATGTAAAGGCCTTGCATAGGAGTAGGGTCAGGGTTGAGTGGGTACAAGTGAAGAACATAAAAGGACTTGTGTGGGTGAAGTGTGATGAGCAATGCCAAGGTGCATACGTGGTCAGAAGACCAGCATAATTTTGGGATTTGCTGCCCAGATTCAGAAGTCTGATCATTGTTCAGTGTGCAACAGGATGACAGGGTCCCTATGGAACCTCACGAATACCCTGCAGGGAACCTCTGGCTGAAGAAGGTCTGTTGTCAGCCTTGAAGCAAATTAAACATGGTTTAGTGCATTTCTTTTAATATTTTCCAATACATATTGTTTACCCTGTATGTTCATTACACAATCAGGATATCATCTGCTTCTGTTCACATCATGTGTCATATTAGTGTCCCCTTGCTACCAAATATTCTTCTATAACATGTTTCATGATGTCACAGAATTTCTAGTATGGATGTACCATAATGCATCTAGCCTGTCTAGCTTACATAACATTAAAAAATTGATAACAACGAGACTGGCGCTGTGGTGTAGTGGGTAGAGCCGCCACCTGCAGTGCCAGCATCCCATCTGGGCACCAGGTTTGAGTTCCGGCTGCTCCATTTCCAATCCAGCTCTCTATTATGGCTGGGAAAGCAGCAGAAGATGGTGCAAGTGTTTGGACCCCTGCACCTGCATGGGAGACCCGGAAGAAGCTCCTGGCTCCTGGCTTCAGATCTGTCCTGCTCTGGCTATTGCAGCCATTTGTGAAGTGAACCAGTGGATGGAAGACTTTCCCTCTCCCCAACCCCCTCACCCCTGCCAACTCTCTTTAACTCCACCTTTCAAATAAATAAATAAATCTTCAAAAAAAATGATAACAACTAATATGCGCAAAACATAATGTACACATTAACCTTGGCACACATGTACCAGATAACTTCCTTAGGAAAAGCCACTGGAAGTGAAATTCCTGAGCCAATAGAGGTATCTATTTTATGACTGGATTGAAAGTGTTCGAGGTGTCAGCCTGAAAGTTGTCAACTTATTCACCCAGGAGGGAAGATTGAGAGCATCCACTTCTACAAGAGGACTCTGTCGCTCCCCCTCTTCGTGGAGGAACGACACTGAACCCTGCGCTGTTCTTTCGTCTGCTCGGCCCTCCCCGGGTTTGCTGCTGGTTCTTCCCGGGTTGGCTACTATCCCTTCCACCTCCGTGGAAGGGCAGTTCCCCCTGGCCGCATTCCCCACTTCCGCAGGGGAGCGGCACACCGCCGGCCGGCTCTCTCGGGGGCTGCACGGGTGTTCCTTCAGCTAGATGTTCCCCATAGATGTTCCCGGTGCATGCCGTCTCTCTCCTCCTTTATAGTCCTCCTCCGCCAATCCCAACTCGGCTGCCCACACGCCGAGTACGCTGCTCTCCAATCAGGAGCAAGTCCTACAGTTAATTGGTTGAACTGGAGGCAGCTGTGCGGAAGCTGTTTACTTCTCTCCCAGCGCCATATTGTGGGAGAGCAGATGCATAGAATAAGTCTTAATTCCAGTAACAGTCTAGTCCGAGCTGCTCCCCACAGACTCTTTCAAATGGTGTGGACTGAGCTGCAGGAAACTGGTAGCACTGCTCTGGCCCAGTTGGGTGAAGCCTCTCATAAGCTTTGTGCATTGAAGGTGAGATACTTAAAGACCCTAAAGGACTCAGTTTCTTTTTTTGTAAAATAGAGGAGATATTAATATTTGCCTCACAGAGTTGAAGCAAAAATTAAGAGAAAAATCATCTATGGAAAACACTTCACATACTGCCTTCCTGCAGTAAGCATTCATTGAAAGTTGGTGTTTTAGTTCTCTCCTGCACACGCGTGTGTGTCTGAATGATGAGTGTGGATTTGGTCACTCTCTTGAGCAAATGGAAAAAGGAAAATCCCCATCCCCATTATCGCATCTTTTAGGTACTGAATAAAATGCTTACCCACTTTCTCCTGGCAACTGAGAGCATCATCTCCTAGTCAAAGGTGGAAGCTCTCCCACATGGACCTTTCTTGTCCGGTCACCTTTGCCTTGCCCTGGGCTTAGAGACTGCTTCATCACCTGCTTACATTAGGAGCTTGTACTTGAGCTGGAAAGAGAAGCCCCATCAGTCTGGGGTTTGAAGGCTGGTGCTTGCCTCTCACAGGTGGTGTGGCCTTGGGTGATTTGCTTCCATTCTCTGAGCCTCATTTTCCCTTCCAGTAAGATCACCTCTCGCTGTGCTTTGAGGATTAAGTAAGATTAACATAAGCAAGGGCACTTAACCTCTGCTGTGTAAATCAGTGAATGATGGTGAACCGAAATCTCTTACCCACCTCCCAAGCAATGACGAGTAGATCTGGGCACACAGAACTTCCTACATTAATGAGAAAAGACATCTGCTTTTAGGTACAGCTCAGTCTTCTATTCCCACAATGATCAACTGCCTTTCCCCTCTCAAATACTGCCTAAAACATTCACAGTGACCCTGACTTATAACCAAGATAAGAACACATAAGTGATAAGGATGCATGTAAGTCTCCTGACACATTGAAAAGTTATTTGAGAGATAAGCTTGACCTCCAGTTTTTCTATTTTGCCAAGCTAGAGGAACTGAAATGGCCAAGAGGTCCAAGGCGCCCAGGAGCTCAGTAACCTGAGGACTGGGAAGAGACCTGAGCTCATGGAGGGTCTCAGAAAGTGGCAGCAACAGAGAACCACTGCTCCTGCACAGCTCACTGTGAAAGCTGCATTCAGCCCATTAGTGGTGATGGCCTGACCGTCATCAGGCCACAGGCGACTTGGGCATCTGTGGATTTCATGTGGGGTAGGAGTGGTGAGAAATTAGCCTAGGAAATGATAATCAGAAAAAGCTTGAGAGGTTCAGGAACTTAAAAATCCTAACGCAAATGGTGCTGGGGTTTAGTAAAGTGCAAGAAGTGTTCCCTAAGGCTTCATGTGTTGGAATTTAATCCCCATTATAAAATATGAAGAGGATGGAAACTTAATTGGGCCATGGCGTTTAGAGGTAGGGCCTTAAAGATGTGACCATGACTAGACAAAGTCATTAGGTGGGGCCCTGTGATTAATCCTGATGGCTTTATAAGCAGTCATACATGTGTGCACTCCTTGTCTCTTTCCATGTGATCTTCTGTATTGTACAAAGACCATCACCAGCTAACACTTTGCACCTCCAGAACCGTGGGTCACAATTAACCTCTTTTCTGCCAGAGCCAGAGCTGGGCCAGGCCAAAGCCAGGAACTCCATGTGGGTTTCCCACATGGGTAGAGGGGCACAGGGGCCATCATCTGCTGCTTTCCCAGGAGTAATTTTCAGGAAGCTGGATTGGAAGCAGAGCAGTGGGACTCAAAATGGCACTCTGATATGGGATGCAGGCATTGAAGGCAATGGCTTAAACTGCTGCACCACAACGCTGGCCCCTCCTATCTTTTTATTCCTTCATCATTAGTACAGTTGTTAAAATAATGCACATCACAGGGGAAGAATGGTGGGTGGATTCAAAGCCAACAGTTAGAATGACAAGAACTGAAGAAGGGCATTTGCTCGTATAAAGACATTGGCCCAGTAATCACTACTGGGCAAAGAGGCCATGGTGAGACAGGAAACCAGAGAACAAGTAGGGTCTCTTGAGAGCCATATTGATCCCTTACAAAGCATACCCCGGGGAGGCTGGTTATGGGGGAAAAACCACTATAATCCAAAAGTTGTACTTTTGAAATTTATATTTATTACATAAAAGTTTTCTAAAAAAAGATAATCATGGGGTGGGGGAGTGGGTGGGAAGAATTACTATGTTCCTAATGTTGTATTTTAAGATATATACAAGTAAAAAATAAGTTCATGGAAGGTGGGGGAAAAAAGTGATAGGCAAGCGAGGTGGCAGACACATTAATCAGCTTGACTTAATCATCATGTATCACAAACATATCACCACATACTCCATAAAAGTATACTATTATGATTTGTCAAATCAACATAAAATTAACCATAAAAATCTTTCAATAAGAAAAAAAAGCATGCCCCGATGACTTGATGACATCCCCCTCTGCTACCGCCTCTTAACATTGCCACACTCAGGACCACACTCTCACCACAAGAGGACTTGAAGACAAACCTAAACCATATCCAAACCATGGCATGGTGTATGTATTATGATTTCCATTTTACAGATAATACATGAAAGAACAGAGAGGATATATAATTTTTGCTAAGCCATGCAGCTAATAAGCAGCAGAGCTGAAACTGATACCTCAGCAGGTGGCTGAACAACAAAAATAACTTACCAGGCCTCCGAGAGTCATACTGATTACAAGGATGCAGGCTTGTTCATCAAACTCTAGACCTGTTTACTTGTCCTGTTCACAGGGCTCCTGCCTGTGGGCCTCTGGTGTCCCAGCTGGCCTCATCTTACCTACTCAGACGACACTGCTCCCTGCACATGCACTCTACATTCCAGCCCAGTCTCCCCCAGCACCCTCTATTGTGTGCTCCCACACAGAACTGTGGCTTTGCACCCATCTGGGCATCTGGATGAAGCATCTAGGAAAGCTCCCCAGGTTTCACTTCTATCTTCATTCCCATCTCCCTGACTCTGGATTGAGCTATCTAGTTCCTATGTGAAGACTTCAAAAAGGTCATAGAAAATAGAATTGAAACATGTTTGTTAATTAGAAATCTATTAGTTTTTTTTTTTTTTGTAATAGTTCATCCGGATGAATATAGATGTAAAAATCATCAATAGGCCAGCGCCCGGCTCAATAGGCTAATCCTCCACCTGTGGCGCCAGCACACCGGGTTCTAGTCCTGGTTGGGGCACCGGATTCTGTCCCGGTTGCCCCTCTTCCAGGCCAGCTCTCTGCTGTGGCCCGGGAGTACAGTGGAGGATGGCCCAAGTGCTTGGGCCCTGCACCTGCATGGGAGACCAGGAGAAGCACCTGGCTCCTGGTTTCGGATCAGCGCAGTGCACAGGCCACAGTGCCCCGGCCACAGCGGCCATTGCAGCGTGAACCAACAGTAAAGGAAGACCTTTCTCTCTGTCTCTCTCTCTCTCTCTCACTGTCCACTCTGTCTGTCAAAAAAAAAAAAAATCATCAGCAAAATATAAGCTAATCAAATCCAACAACATATCAGAAAGATCATTCACCCATATCAAGTGAGATTTTTCCTGGTATGCAGGAATGGTTCAATATTTGCAAATCAATCAATTCGATACATCACATTAACAAACTGAAGAACAAAAAATGTATGATTATCTCAGATGCATAAAAAGCATTTGATAAAATACAATATCCTTTCATGAAGAAAACCTTAAGCAAATTGCATTTAGAAAGAACATTCCTCAACACAATAAAGACAATTTATGACAAACCTACAGCCAGCATCTTATTGAATGGAAAAAAGTTGGAAGCATTCACCCAGAACTAGACAAGGGTACCTACTCTCACCAACACTCTTCAATACTGTATTCAAAGTTTTAGACAAAGCCGTTAGGCAAGAAAGAGAAATCAAAGGGATACAAATTGGGAAGGAGGATGTCAAACTATCCCTATTTGCATATTCTAAATATAGGAGATCCAAAAATTCCACTGAGACTATTGCAAATCATAAAAGAGTTTGGTAAAGTGGTAGGTTATAAAATTAACACAAAAATCAATAGCTTTTTTTAAAAAGACTTATTTATTTGAAAGCCAGAGTTACACAGAGAGAGGAAAGGCAGAGAGAGAGAGGTCTTCCATCCAATGGTTCACTCCCCAGTTGGCCGCCATAGCTGGAGCTGCGCCTATTCAAAGCCAAGAGCCAGGAGCTTCTTCTGGGTCTGCAACGTGGGTGCATAACAATATCAGATTTCAAGACATCTACAGGGCAATTGTAATCAAATCAGCCTAGTACTGGCACAAAAATAGATGTCTAGACCAATAGAATACAATAGAAACTCCAGAAATCGACCTATGCATCTAGAACAACTTATTTTTGACAAAGGAACTAAAGTCAGTCGCTGGAGCAAGGACAGTCTCTTCAATAAATGGTGTTGGGAAAACTAGACCCCTACCTTACACTTTACACAAAAATCCACTCAAAATTGATCAAAGACCTAAATCTGTGGCCTAATACCATCAAATCACTAGAAAAAATTGGGGAAATTCTATAAAACATAGTCATAGTCAGACTTTTTAGAAAAGACCCCAGAAGCACAGGCAATCAAAGCCAAAACTGACAAATGGGATTACATCAAGCTGAGCAGCTTTTGTGCTGCAAAAGGAACACTCAGCAAAGTGAAGAGGCGACCAACAGAATGGGAGAAAATATTTGCAAACCATGTAACTGATAAACAATTAGCATCTAGAATCTATAAAGAGCTCAAGAAATTCAACAATAACAAAACAAACAATCCAGTTAAGAAATGGGCAAAGGAATTGAGGGAATTTTTCAAGAGAGGAAATTCAAATGGCCAATAGACACTTGAAAAAATGGTCAGGATCATTAGCCATCAGGGAAATACAAATGAATTTCACAATGAGGTTTCACCTCACCCCAGTTAGAATGGCTTTCATACAGAAATCAACAAACAACAAATACTGGTGAGAATGTGGAGGAAAAGGTACCCTCATCAACTGTTGGTGGGAATGTAAATTGGTCCAGCCACTGTGGAAGACAGTATAGATACCTCAGAAATCCGAATACACACTTACCATATGATCCAGCCATCCTGCTACTGGGAATTTACCCAAACCAAAAGAAATCAGCGTATGAAAGAGTGCTTTGTACCACCATGTTTATTGCAGGCCAATTCACAATAGCCAAGATACAGAGTCAATCCAGATTTCCATCAACTCAAGACTGAATAAAGAAATTACGGTACATATACAATATGGAATACAGCTCACCTGAAAAAAAAGAAATCTTGTCTTTTGCAACAAAAATGGATGTAACTGGAGAGCATTATACTTAATCCCAAAATGACTGATATTGTATGTTTTCCCTAATCAGAAGTAACTAATATATTATCTAAAATGTAATGTATTGGAATGAAATAGACATTTTGAGATTTGATGATTGTTACAGCCCTTGTTTCTTCTGTTGAGAAACAGTATTTTCTTCATACTATTTATTGAACTCTTTTGCTTAGTATAAGGTTAACCTTATGATCATTAAGTAAACTGAAAGTAGACCTTGGGGCCGGTGCTGTGGCTCACTTGGTTAATCCTCTGCCTTGCAACGCCGGCATCCCATATGGGTGCCAGGTTCTAGTCCTGGTTGCTCCTCTTCCAGTCCAGCTCTCTGCCGTGGCCTGGGAGGGCAGTAGAGGATGGCCCAAGTGCTTGGGCCCCTGCTCCCGCATGGGAGACCAGGAAGAAGCACCTGGCCCCTGGCTTCGGATCAGCGTAGTGCCGGCCATGGCAGCCATCCAGGGAGTGAACCAATAGAAGGAAGACCTTTCTCTTTCTCTCTCTCTCTCTCTCTCTCTGTCTATAACTCTACCTGTCAAATGAATAAGTTTAAAAAAAAAAGAAAAGAAAAAAAAGTAGGTCTCTGTAAAAATTAAGAGTGGGAATGGGAGAGGGAGGAGGAAGAAGGGTTGGAGCATAGTGGGAGGGAGGGAAGTATCACTACATTCCTAAACCTGTATTTCTTAAATAAAATTTAAAAAATAAAATATATTAAAAATAGAAAAAATGTGGTAGGGTGATCATTAAAAATTTTAAGTTGGTTCCATAGTCTTCAAATGCATTATCACTTTTATAACTGTTTAACTTTATCTAGCAATAACTTAAAACTTTATCACTGGAGCCCGCACTGTGGTGTCGTGGGCCAAGTCTCTGCCTATAGAGTCAGCAATCATAAGGGCGCCATTTCAAGTCCCGGCTGTGCCTCTTCCAATCCAGTTCTTTGCTATGGCCTAGGAAAGCAGTAGAAGATGGCCCAAGTGCTTAGGCCCCTGCACCCACATGGGAAACCTGGAGAAGCTCTTGGCTCCTGGCTTCAGATCGGCTCATCTCTGGCCATTGTGGCCATATGGGGAGTGAACCAGAGGATGGAAGAGCTCTCTCTGTCTCTCCCTTTCTCTGTCTGTACCTCTACCTCTCAAATATATAAATCTTAAAAAAAAAACCTTATCACTATGATCTTCTCACCTACTAAGTACTTTTTGTTCTCAAGAAATAATTGTGAAATGAATACAGACATAGGAAAATTTAAAGACTCTTTGTCAGGGCTGGTGTTGTGACATATTTGACAAAGCAGGTTAAGCTGCCTCCTGTGATGCCAGTATCACAAATGGGTGCTGGTTCAAGACTCAGCAACTCTACTTCCAATCCAGCTCCATGCTAATGCTCCTGGAAAACAGTGGAAGATAGACTAAGTGCTTGGATCCCTGCACCCAGGTTCCTGGCTCCGGGCTTTGGCCTGGCCCAGCCCTGGCTATTGTAGCCACTTGGGAAGTGAACCACCAGATGGAAGATCTCTTCCTCATTCTGTCTCTCCTACTCTCTCTGTAATTCTTGATTTCAAGTAAATTTTTTTAAAAACATTTTGTTACATATTGAAAAAAAATTTACCAAATTACTTTGCTATTTTATGAATTTTAATACTGTTGAATTTGTTTTTCTTCTAGTTATAGATGTAATATGCAACTTGTGAAAATGACCATTAGTTATTTTCTAAACTTTATTTCTTTTTAGAAATTGGAAATGCACCAAATAAATGAGCTTTCAATGCAGCTCAAGGATCTAGAAAAACTGCAACAAGCCAGACCTAAATCTAGTAGAAGAGAAATAATTAAAATCAGAGAAGAAATCAACAGGATTGAATAAAAAAAAAAAACATTTAAAAAAATCAGCCAAATGAAGAGCTGGTTTTTTGAAAAAATAAACAAAATTGACACCCCATTGGCCCAACTAACTAAAAAAGGAAAAAAAAAAAAGACCCAAGTCAATAAAATCAGTGATGAAAAAGGAAATGTAACAACAGACACCACAAAAATAAAAAGAATCATCAGAAATTACTACAAGGAATTGTATGCCAGCAAACAGGGAAATCTATCAGAAATGGATAGACTACTGGACACATGCAACCTACGTAAATTGAACCAGGAAGACATCGAAAACCTCTACAGACCCATAACTGAGACAGACATTGAAACAGTAATAAAGGCCCTCCCAACAAAGAAAAGCCCAGGACCAGATGGATTCACTGCTGAATTCTACCAGACATTTAAAGAAGAACTAACTCCATTTCTTCTCAAACTATTCAGAACAATCGAAAAAGAGAGAATCCTCCCAAATTCTTTCTATGAAGCCAGCATCATGTTAATCCCTAAGCCAGAGAAAGATTCAGCATTGAAAGAAAATTACAGACCAATATCCCTAAAGAACATAGATGCAAAAATCCTCAATAAAATTCTGGCCAATAGAATGCAACAACACATCAGAAAGATCATCCTCCCAGACCAAATGGGATTTATCCCTGGTATGCAGGGATGGTTCAATGTGCACAAATCAATCAATGTGATACACCACATTAACAGACTGCAGAAGAAAAACCATATGATTATCTCAACAGACGCAGACAAAGCATTCAATAAAATACAACACCCTTTCATGATGAAAACTCTAAACAAACTGGGTATAGAAGGAACATTCCTCAATACAATCAATGCAATTTATGAAAAACCCATAGCCAGCATCCTATTGAATGGGGAAAAGTTGGAAGCATTTCCACTGAGATCTGGTACCAGACAGGGATGCCCACTCTCACCACTGCTATTCAATATAGTACTGGAAGTTTTAGCCAGAGCTATGAGGCAAGAAAAAGAAATTAAAGGGATACAAACTGGGAAGGAAGAACTCAAACTATCCCTCTTTACAGATGATATGATTCATTATTTAGGGGATCCAAAGAACTCTACTAAGAGACTGTTGGAACTCATAGAAGAGTTTGGCAAAATACTCTCATGGGCATTTCAGCCAGATCCGCATGCCTTAAGGGCTGATTATGAGGCCAGAGTGCTGTTTAGGACAGCTGCCATTCTATGGGTCTGCTGTGTATCTCACTTCCCATGTTGGATCATTCTCTCCCTTTTTGATTCTATCAGCTAGTATTTGCAGACACTATTCTTGTTTATGTGATTCCTTTGGTTCTTAGTCCTATCATTACAATCAATTGTGAACAGAAATTGATCACTGGGACTAGTGAGATGGCATTGGTACATGCCACCTCAATGGGATTGAATTCGAATCCCCTGGTATGTTTCTAACTCTACTGTTTGAGGTAAGTCAGCTTGAGCATGTCCCGAATTGCACATCTCTTCCCTCTCTTATTCCCACTCTTATATTTAACAGCAATCACTTTTCAGTTAAGTTTCAGCACTTAAGAAGAATTGTGTATTGATTACAGTATTCAACCAAAAGTATTAAGTAGAACAAACAAAAAAAATACTAAGAGGGATAACATATCAAGTTGCTCATCAACAGTCAGGGTGAGGGCTGATCAAGTCACTGTTTCTCATAGTGTTCATTTCACTTTAACAGGTTTCCTTTTTGGTGCTCAGTTAGTTGTCACCTATCAAGGAGAACAAGTGGTATTTGTCCCTTTGGGATTGGCTTATTTCACTCAACATAATGTTTTCCAAATTCCTATCAGGGATCACTTTTCAGTTAAAATTTAAACACCTAAGAATGCCCATGAGAGTATTTCAGGCATGGAAAGCCAAGACACTCTGGGGGAAAAAAAAACCTAAATGAAAGATCTCCGTGAGTGAGATCCCAGTGGAAAGAATGGGTCATCAAAGAAGGAGGTACCTTTCTCTGAAGGGAGGAG